TTTGGGGCAGATCAGCCTCCCCTGGCCTGCGATACCCACCACCAGTGATGAGCTGCCAAAATCTTAATAACCAGTTCCCTATAAAAAGTTCTGATTTAAGAGATGTGCCACAGTAGGTATTTTTTGTACCAATAGGGTTACTATACATCCATATTTTCCTGGGAGGCAATTTAAGAACCAAAAAGCCTGACATGTCCAAGAAAATACGGATGTATGTTTACCCTACCTAAAGTTCTTTTTTAAAAAGATGGGTCTGAACTAGAAATGAGCTCCGTTTCACATGTGTGGGTCCCCACCACTGCCTGGGGGGTGTGCACATGTGTGGGTCCCAGCTGCTCCCTGCCCCCCCTCATTGAAAGGGGGGGAAGGCTAGCTCAGTGGTTTGAGCATTAGCTTGCTAAACCCAGGGTTGTGAGTTCAATCTTTGAGGGGGGCATTTAGAGATCGAGGGCAAAAATTTGTCTGGGGATTGGTCCTACCTTGAGCAGGGGGTTGGACTAAATGACCTCCTGAGGTCCCTTCCAACCCTGATATTCTATGATTCTATGAAGCAGCTATGCAGGGTTACTGCCCTGGGAACTGCAGGCCACCAGAGGATGTGGGGCTAGGTGGAGGCAGGGGCTGGCTGCGGGCAGGGCAGGGCAAGGGGTGTGGGGCTGGATGGAGACATAGGCAGTGGGTGTGGGGCTGGTGTGGGCAGGGTGTTTCAAGGGCTGGCTGCAGGCAGGGGGTGTGGGGCTGGCAGGAGACGGGCAGAGCAGGGGATGCGGGGCTGTTGTGAGCAGGGTAGGGAGTGTGGCAGGGACTGGTGTGAGCAGGGGGGTGGCTGCGGGCAGGGTGGCTCACAGGGAGAGCGGCTTGGAGAAGCCCAAGCAGCAGGACACAGCCCAGGCCCAGAAGAGTAGCCGGAGACCCACCAGGCAGGAGCAGGAGCCCCGAGGCCAGGAGTCAGGGGAGGAGGAGCAGCAACAGGGCCAGGTGGCAGCCCACAAGGCTACCGCAATGCAGCACCACCAGTAGCCGGAGGAGGAATTACACACTTCCCTACCGGAGCCCATCAAAGCCGCAGGGTGCCCTCCTCGCAGGGAAGCAGGTTAACAAGCGGTTCTAAAACCGCTTCAAAATTTAACAACCGGTTCGTGCAAACTGGTGCGAACCAGCTCCAGCTCACCACTGCCCGACACCCATGAGCCTAGCCGGGCTCCTGGCCCTGAACGCAGGCAGAGTGTGACTAGGAGGCAGTTGGTGCTTCCTGGGTCTCACAGCGCAGCCTCTCACCGGGGTGTCCGTTCCTGGTCAGGGTCCCGGTGATGTTGGGGGGCCCGGGCGGGTCTGTAACAGAAACCAGACAGAGGTGATGGGAGGGCTGGACAGCTCCAGGGTGGGTGGTGTGGCTAGTGATCACTGAGCCTAGACATGGACCCTCACTGTGAGCTCAGCTGGGGGACGGGAAAGTCCCTGAAGTGACACAAGACCTGTGGGCTGGGAAGGGAAGCGACAGACCCAACTGGGCCCGACCCAAGAGGTGCTGGACCGAACCCAGGGGCCAGGTTAGGGCCGCGCCGGGGAACCAGAACCATGGGAAATTGAAACCCAAGGGACCAAAACTGGTGGGTCAAAACTGGGCCTAATTGGCAAACGAGCGGGCAGGCTGCTCCGGCCTGCGTACTTGAGTGACTGGTACCAGCACCACTGTCTCCCGGGCGCCTGGGCATTCAGCGTCCTGCTCCCCAAACGTGTCCTCCCCAGGGCGGGCCAGAGCCAGGGGTCTAAATAACCCCACTCCCACCCCCACCCCAGACCCAGCCACTACGAGGGACATCAGACACCCCCGTCATGGGTCCTTTCCCTTCCCCCCTCGGTTCATCTCTCCCCAGCCCTCTCCTTTTGCCCTCTAGCTTAGCTGGCCAGGCCTGGATATTTTGCACCCCAGCTGTGCCCAGAGGGGCGGCTAAAAGTAACACGTGGAACAGCCGGATGCTGATACGGGCTGGCCAGGCCTGGCAGGGACCGTCCATGCTGCCTTCAGTGCCCCGCGGCGCCGAGCCTCAGAGCCTGGGTCTGTTGGGGGTGTGGGTGGATCCCAACACAGGAGGATTCTGGGGGCAGAGCAGGTCGGCGGTAGAGAGGGGAGCCATAGCCAAAGGGTGCAGGAAGGGGTGAAGATCCCAAGGGAGAAGGGGCTGCAGGGTGTGGAGGGAAGGGGCCTGGAGTAGAATTGGCTGAGGGTGCATGGTGGGGGGTGGGGATCCCAGGACAGGGCAGAGTTGGGGGAGGAGCTGGACGGCAGGGCTGGGGAGCCCAGGGGTCGGGATCCCAGCAGAGGGGGCTGGGGGCAGTGTGGAGGGGCTGGGTGGGTCACTCACAGCCTACGTGGAGCTGGATGGTTCTGCGGGTGGAAGGTCCCTGTGCTGAGCTGTAGGTGACGATGCAGACGAGCTTTTTCCCGTGGTCCCCCAGGCTGGGCGTGAAGCTGAGCGCAGAGCTGTGGGCCCAGGTGCCATTCGCCAGCTGGGCTGAGATGCCCCGGGCTGTGTTGCTGAATGGCCCCATCCAGGTAACTCGGGGAGGAGGCCCGGAGCAGCGCCCGGGGGCCGTGCAGGTCACAGTCACCGGCTCCCCGGCTAGCAACGTCCCTGGCATCCCCTGCGCCGGTGAGATATGGATCTCGGGCTCCTCCGTCAGCTCTGAGACATGGAGAGAGGGAAGAGAATCACTCAGGGACATGGGGCGTTTGCCCTTTAGGGCGCCGGCTCTGACCTGGCCCCAGGATGGGGACTGGCTGGCTCAGGGGGGCTGATGAGCGGTGTCATAAATATAGAGGGAAGAGTAACAACTTTCTGTATGTAGTAGCATAAAATCCCTCTTTGGCAGCTGTACTAAATCACCTTCCCTGTAAGGGATTAATCAGCTCAAATAACCTAGTTGGCACCTTACCAGAAGGAACAATGAGGAAAGAAGATACTTTCTAATCTGGGGGGGTGGGGGGAGGATTTGTTTGTTGCTGTCTCTTTGTTGTTCCCTCTCTGGATGGAGGAGGGAGGGAGAGACCAAGCAGGTACAACATCTCCTGAAAAGTTACCTGGAATATTAGATCTATAACCACAGAAATGGTGAGAAGGCAGGGAAAGGCGTTAAGTTATCTTTTGTTTTAGCTTGTGAATTTTCCTATGCTACAGATGTAGTTTGATTCCTGGTTTTGTAACTGGGAAGCTGAGCCAGAGGAGAATCCTCTGTGTTTTAAATCTTTTATTTACCCTGTGAAGTTACCTTCCAAACTGATTTTGCAGGTGTGATTCTTTTTTATATATATATAAATAAAGTTCTTCTTTTAAGAACCTAATTGATTTTCAGTGTCCTGAAGACAAAGAGTCTGGTCTGTGCTCACATTGCTAACCAATTGGTTGGTATATTATTCTCAAGCCTCCGCAGGAAAGCGGGTGAAGGGACTTGGGGGGATATTTGGGGGATAGGGATTCCAAGTTACCCTGCCCTGAATTTTTCTATAAATCACTTGCTGTTGGCAGCAATACTGTCCAAGGACAAGGGAAGGAATTTGTGACTTGGGGAAGTTTTTAACCTAAGCTGGTGGAATATAAACGTAAGGGGTCTTTCCTGCGGGTCCCCACATCTGTACCCCAGAGTTCAGAGTGGGGGGGAACCCTCACAAGTGGTGACTGCGGCTGCTCTTACCTGGCACGGAGATCGTGAGCGCAGGGTCTGTGCCATCGGAATTGGAGCGGTAAGTGTGATCTAACATGCCTTTCTCGATGTTAAAGAAATATCTCCCTGCATCCGTCTGTCGGGCATCACTGATTTGCAGGGAGCAGTCGCCGAGCGCTGGATCCCCCGTCAGCCGGAACCGGCCCTGGGTCTCCTGCGACACCCCCGGGTTGGGGACACTGCTGGCCACAGGAATATCCTGGCCCACAGTAGCAGGCTCCTTGTACCATTGTCCGTATAGCTGGGCCGAGGGATTGTCGGTGTCATACGAGGCTGGGTACGTGAAGTTGCAGGAGACGAAAACACAGAGACCCTCTTGCACGGACACCAACTGCGGCACCGCCAGGGTAAATCCAGGTGGCTGGGACAGGGACCCTGCAGGGGATGGGGAGGGATCAAAGTGGGACCCATAGAGAGCAGAGACCAACCCTGAGCGGCACCCCCCAGCTCTGCCGGTTCCCCTCACTCCCAACCTGCAGCCCCCTACGAGCCCAGCCATGAGATCAAGCCCCCCTCAAGGTCTATCAGTGCCCCTCACTCCCGACTGACAGCCCCATGTGAGCCCAGCCCTGGGTCCTTGACCAATTCTCACTCCATTTAGTTTCCATTCCTCCCTACATGGAGCCTCCTGTCCGCTCCCTGTCGCTCAGTGCCCCCTAGCACCACACTGGGGCACTGGGCTCCCTCCCCCTCTGGCCAGTCTCCCTTTCACATTCTGGGACAGACCTGGCACCGCTTAGTGCAGTTTCTGCCTTTCCCCTGCACTGGGGCTGCAGGTGCTGCTTACTTACCTCTCCAGAGCAGGGCGAGGATCAGGACCCTCAGCGTGGCAGGACCCCCAGCTCTCCAGAGGGGGCCCTGAGCCTGGAGCTCCCATTCCCCAGCATCATGCCGTGGCAGCAGCGCTCTGCCCATGGCTGGGGCGTCCGGCTGGGACAGACCTAGAGACAGACGGGGGCTGAGAAGTGTGAGAGCAGAGGCTGTTTGGGGGGACAGATCTGCCTGGGGGACCGTCAGTACTGCTGGGCTCTGCAGGGGGCTGATCTGGGGCTGCTGGCAGTGCAGTGACCTCCCCCTCACACAGAAATCCCCAAATCACCAGACTGTCCTGAGAGATCGTGGGCTAAAAAAATCCTTAAATAGGTGAAAAAAAAAAGAGATTTCCTCTAAGAATCATGAGATCGGCCAGAAAATCCTGAGCTGGTGACAGAAGATGGTGGGAAGGCAGCGCTGCCCAGTGCCTGCTTTGCTTCAGTCTTCCCACAAAAACCAACATGTGAGCGAGCGACCAGTGAAGTTACCACGGACAACAAAGGGGAAAGGCTGCAGATCGGGATAAGTAAAGAACACATCAGAGATGTTCCAACCAATTTGAATGAATACAGATCAGTGGGGAGGGACGCTGTTCAACCCAGGTTGCTAAAGGAATTAGTCGAAGAAATCTTGGAGCCACTGGCAATAATATTTGCAAACTCCTGGATGTCAGGAGAGGTCTCAGAAAACAGGAGAAGGACTAACGGAGTGGCCATCTTTAAAAAGGGAAAAAGGAGGAGCCGGGGAACTATAGGCCAGTCAGCCTGACCTCGACAGATGGAAAGCTACTAGAGCAATGTATAAAACCTCCAGTTTTGTAAAGGGAAATCATGGCTCGCTAAACTACTAGCATTTTTGAGGGAGTCAACAGCATGTGAACATGGGTGACCTGGTCCATTTACTTAGATTTTCAGAAAGCCTTTGACAAGTTTCCTCCCAAAAGGCTTTTAAGCAAGGTAAGGTGTCATGGGACAAGTAGGCAGGTCCTCTCCTGGATCAGTAATTGGTTAAAAGGGATGTAATGAATGGCTAATTTTCAGAGTGGCGAGAGGTAAATAGTGGTGTCCACCAGCGTTCTGTATGTTGACCAGTGCTGTTCAACATGTTCATAAATGATCTAGAAAAAGGGGTAAACAGTGAGGTGGAAAAATTTGCAGATGATACAAAACTACTCAAGAGAGTTAAGTTCAAAGCTGACTGCGATGAGCTACAAAGGGATCTCACAAAACTGGGACACTGGGTAACAAAATGGCAGATGAAATTGAATGTCAATAAATGCTAAGTTATGCACTTTGGGGAACATAATCCCAACAATACATATAAAGTGATGGGATATAAATTAGCTGATACTGCTCAAGGAAGAGATCTGAGAGTCACTATGGATAGTTCTCTGAAAACACCCACTCAGTGTGCAGCGGCCATCAAAAATCATTAAGAAAGGGATAGATAATAAAACAGAAAATATCATATTGCCTCTGTATAAATCCATGGTACACCCACATCATGGATACTGCGTGCAGTTCTGGTGGCCCTATCGCAAACTGGAATTGGAAAAGGCTCAGAAAAGGGCAACAAAAATGATTATGGGTGTGGAACAATTTCTATATGAGGAGAGATTAATAAAACTGGGACTGTTCATCTTGGAAAAGAGACAACTAAGGGGGGCTATGATAGAGGTCTATAAAATGTAAGGAAGTGTTTCTTCACACAACAGAAAGTGAACCTGTGGAACTCTTTGCCAGAGGATGTTGTGAAGGCCAAAACTATTCAAAAAGAACTGGGTAAATTCATAGAGGCTAGGTCGATCAATGGCTATTAGCCATGATGGACAGAGATGGTGTCCCTAGCCTCTGTTTTCCAGAAGCTGCTAATGGGCGACAGGTGATGGATCTCTTGTTGATTATCTGTTCTGTTCATTCCCTCTGGGGCACCTGGCACTGGCTACTGTCAGAATACAGGATACTGAGCTAGATTGTCCATTGGTCTCACCCAATATGGCCATTTTTATGGAGAAATGTGGGCTTGGTGGAACTACTATTAAGTGGATACAGAAACGGTTAAACAATCGCAAACAAGAAGTAACTGTTAATGGAATGAGGTGGGATTGGAGGGACGTCTCAAGTGGGGTTCCACAGGGATCTGTTCTGGGTCCCGTGTTGTTTAACATCTTTATCAATGACTTGGATGTAGGACTAGGGAGCAGACTGATCAAATCTGCAGATGACACAAAGCTGTGGGGGTTGCCAACACTTTGGAAGATGGAGCTAAAATTCAGAGGAATATTGATAATTGGAGAATTGGGCTGTAGAGGACACAATGAAGTTCATGAAGGACAAATGGAAGAGGCTCCACTTAGGGAAGAAAAAACAAATGTACAAATACAGGATGGGGAAGAACTGGCCTGGCAGCAGCATTGCTGAAAAGGAGCTGGGAGTTGTGGCGGATCACAGCCATGACAGGAGTCAGCAATGCGATGCTCTTGCAAAAAAGCAAATGCAATGTCAGGTTGCATGAACAGAGGCAGAGCATGCAAGTCACAGGAGGTGACAGTACCACTCTATGCCTCAGCTGGAGGACTGTGTCCAGTTCTGGTCACCAATGTATAGAAAGGATGTAGAGAAACTGGAAAAGGTCCAGAGGTGAGGGATAAAGATCATGAAAGGGATGGTATGGAAGCCCCAGGGGCACAACCTGAAGGAACTTGGCATGGTTAGGAAAGGAGGTTGGCGGGTTGGGAGGGTACATTATCGCGGTTTGCAAATACTGGAAAGGCTGCCATCAAGAAGATTGTTCTCTCTCACCCCACAGGGCAGGATGAGGAACAACAGGTTCAACCTACAGTAGAGTCAATTGAGATTAAATCTCATAGAAAACTCCCCAGCTGTGTGAGCAGTCGGACAATGGACAAGACACCCACAGAGGTCATGAAAGGTCCTTCCCTGGAGGGTTTCGAGAGGAGGCTGGACTGCATCTGTCTTGGATGGGTTAGACCCAACCAATCCTACACCTTGCCAGGGGTTGTACTAGGTGACCCCTGAGGTCCCTTCTCACCTGTGGGTCTGTGATTCCAGGATTTGCTAAAGAATCCCGAGATTTAATGTGAATGTCATGACACCAGGAACCCCCCCTCCGAAATTCACTAATAAATCCTGAGATTTCCTCTAAGAATCATGTGATTGGCTGAAAAAGGTTTCAAAATCCTGAAACTGGCTGTTAAAATCCACAGATGTGTGCTTTGCCTGCAAACACCATGTTCTTTGAAGCCTGTTGGCTCAGCCCCCCCCCCCCCAGTGATGGTGTCACCCCCGCACGGTGAGGGGCTGGTTCTTCAGGGACCCAGTTGAACTGGATGTGGGTAAATCATCCCTGGGGTGGGGGTTTTGCAGAGAGCTCATGGCTCCCCCCTCTGCAGACAGGATGGGCGCTAATGCTGCTCTCCCTGCCCCTCAGCTGCCTTCCCTGCTCCCCTGCTCCTTCTGCAGCTGGGACACCATCATAGCTGTGGGGGCAGGGAGCAAGGGCTGGGATTGCAAAGGGCTGTGGGTCGGGATTTAGAGTCACACCAGTTGCCACAGACCATCCAGCTCCCTCTCCAGTTTCACTCACCCCTAGACCTGCAGAGGGGGTACGGAGCCTGGGTCTCCGATCCTGCAGCTCAGGTTCTCCAGGGTTTGAGACTCAGAGCCTGGGGAAGCGGCATGCACGGGAATGTGAAAGTAGAAGTGGGTGCAGACAGGATGGGGTTGGGGGGAGATGCTTTCTCAGGAACCCCAGCACCAGCATCCTGCCGACTTCCCCTCCTGTGGCTTCCCTGCAACAAGGGCAGGCTGCATATTGCTTGTGGGGCTGGAAATAGATCCCAGAAGTCCTGGCTCTGAGCCCCTGTACACCTCACTCTGCTCCAAGAACTGGGATAGAGCCCAGGAGTCCTGACTCCCTGCCTCCAACCCCCACTGTAACCCACTAGACCCTGCTCCCCACCCAGAGCCAGGGACAGAACCCAGGAGTTCTGGCTTCGAGACCCTCTATATCTCACTCTCCTCCCAGAGCCGTGGATGGATCCCAGGAGTCCTGGCTCCCAGCCGCCTGTCCCAGCTCTATCCCTTCATTACTTCTTTTAATATTTGAACACTAGCAGCTCACACCTCTTATCCTATTGTACATGCTGCAGACGCTAATCACTCACCCCGAGCTGAGATGCAGCCACCTCCAGGCGGGGCAGCTGGGGAACAGCCACAAAGCGACACTGTGCAGAGGTTGCTCACCCGGAGCTGAGATGCGTCCACCTCTGGGGTGGGGTGTCTGGGAACAGCGCACTGGAACAGCAGGTGCCCGGTAGGACAGCTAGCGAATCCTGACTCCAATTTGAAGAGCCAGTGTGTGTGAAGACCTGCCTGGGACGGAGCGGGCGCGAGTGTCAGCGCGTGGGCTGTGGCGAGATGTGAGATTTCAAGACAGGAAGGGGAAGTCAGCGTGTGATTCTGGCCCTAGAAGGTCTTGCAGAAGCTGGTTCCAATGGCTGGAGATCTCGGTGCTATTGATGCAAGAGGGAGATTGTCACAGACAGAGGCCTGCTCCCAGGGACAGCCGGCTTCCGGCCCCACCGCAGGGGGACTGGCTGGGGGTGGAGGGAATGGGGCACTGGGCCTTTCTCCTATGGGGGCCCTGGCTCCAATCTGCTCCAGGGTGCAACACTGGTTGGCTCTGGGGAGTGGGAGTGGGACCAGGGGGCCTTCCCCTCTAGAGTCTCTTTTATTCTCTGTCTCTCGGTTCCTGAAACATCTCCCAGGTCCCTGGTCTCTGAGTCTGGGGAATCCTTTTTGATGGGACCCAGGTTATCGTCTGGATCAGGAGAAGCAGCTGGATTCCACGGCCCACCATAGACACCGTCCTTCGATTTAAGAGCTGAGACGCAGCCGAATCTGTCCTGGTTCATGGGGGCTGTTTACAGAGGGACCTCTCCCCAGTGCTGAGATATGGCTGCCTCTGGGGTGGGGTACTGGGACTGTTTATACAAGGACTTCTTGACCGGTGTTGAGATACACAAGGGTTTGGGAGAAACCTAGAACTAAAAGAAACACAGCGCCCCCTAGGGGCATTGGGACCAGCCCCGATGACCGGGCCCTCCCGAGTCTCCCACCCCAGCCAGACCCTGGCCCTTTCTGACCCAGTTCAGTGGCACGTCAGCTCTGCCCTCTGTGTGTGGGCACCGGCGGCTGTGCTGGGAGGCTGGTTGCTGAGAGGATCTTCCACAACAGGAAGTTTCCAGTTGGTGAGTTTGCTGCACCTCCGGCCGGTTGGCCCCTGTTCAGGGCTGGGCAAGAGCCGCGGAGAGCAGGGGAGAGGGTCCCATTGAACAGTGGGGCGCGGCCGCTTGGACACAGATCCCCAGCCAGTGGCGGAAGGGGCGAGCCCGGGGCAGATTCCTGCTGGGACTGTGGCTGCCGGGTCTAGTGGGTTAGAACTCGCTGCGCTGGATCCATGCGGATCAGGGTAGAACCCTGGTCATTGGGGCGAGATCCAGGGCAGGAACCCCGGTGTCCGGGCTGGCCCCTAGCTTGGTGTGGTACATTCTGCCTCTGGTTAATCCCGATTTGGTTTCAAACTATTTTAAATTGGCTCCCCGAGTTTTTTCCCTCGGTTGCTGTTAAACAGATGCCCCACTTGGAGGTGGCTGCATTTCAGTGCCAGCCGGGAACAGATCCTTATATAAAGAGCCCCCACACCCCACCCGAGAGGTCACTGCATCTCAGCACTTGCCGAGGGGTCCCTGTATAAACAGCCCCCACACCCTACCCCAGAGGTGACCGCATCTCAGTGCTAAGGAAGGGATATTTGTGCATTGTATTGAGCTCAGTGTATGACTTGTGTATCTTTCCTGGGTCTTGTGAATTAACAAGTTGAGATGTAGGGGGAAAAGTGATTCACTGGGAAACCTTGGAACCACCAGATCAAGATCGAAATCTTACATTTCTGAAGATCATGGTGACTGGGGTCCATCTCTTACAGATATGGCAGGGCAAGGGTTAATTAACAGTCATTATCTATCTATCTTAATAATTTAAAAGTCTGTTTTTTTCAGTGTCCTGAAAATATTTTAAAACATGGGGCAGGAATTGAAAAATGTGGGATATTTTTTGTGATCATTAGTTTTAAACGGCCAATTCTCTGTGGGGAAAACGTGTGCGCTATTCAGCAAAACCCACAATAGACAAAGCCATGCGCACATGGTTTGCTCAGAAAAGGCTGGAAGGAATGCCGCTAAGTGGGCCAATTCTTCAAGCCCAAGAGACAACATTTGGAAATTTAACAGGGGATGAATCATTCCAAGCCAGCAAGGGGTTTATAAGTCATTTTAAAAAGCATCATGGCCTAGCACAGGTGTCGATTTCTTTTGGCATGTGCTAATTACAATCCTGCATCTCCAGTGGAGTGTATCTTGATTCCTGATCACAATTGATCTTCCTAATTTGAAAAACATATGGAAATAAAAAGTGAGTTTTATTCCTATTTGCAAGTTTACAGTTTCTATGATTCTCAGACATGTCTAGAAACCAAGGATTCTGCTGCGTTTGGACCAATCCAAGCACATAGTAGGTGCTACTGTAACACAAAGACAAACACATTCGATTCAGCATTTCTCAAAGACTGAACACTTGCTTTCATGTTAAGATCTGGATTTGTGGTAACTGCATTGTCTTGCAGGGATCAGTAGCTAGCATCACCCGGTCTGCTCTTTTCTTCCACCATAACCCCTTTCTGACAACAAAAGTTACCACACAATTCCAGGAGGGGGGATCAAAGTCTGAGCCCATCGGGTTCCCAGGCAGTGAGCCTTGGGCTTTGGTCTGGGGCTACAGGAAGTCTAAGCCAGCCTTGGTCACCCCATTAAATGGGGTTGTGACCCATTTTGAGGTCCTGATCCACAATTTGAGAGCCACTGCTCTAGAGGGTATCGTCCTGCGCTAGTCACCGGGGTATCTGGACGCCTTGCGGTCATCACAGAAAAAAAACAAAGTCATCCAGGATCAGCCTTACCCACGGGTGACCAGGGCTGTGATGGGTTCGGTCACAGAGACCCCCTTGGGACTGTTACCTGATGTGCTGACACTATCTCAGAGCCCATTTTCCTTGCCATCTTGGGACTGCAAAAATCTGCCTTGTTGAGCCAGATATGCTAGCCTGCTGCAACACAGACCCAGTGTCTGAACCATGCCCCCAAAGCTGAGCACATGCTTCTGTCTCCAGTACCCAGACAACCAGTTCCTAATGGGATCCAAACCACAAAGAAATCCGTTTTACTCTGTATAAAGCTTATACAGGGTAAACTCGTGAATTGTCTATTCTCTATAACACTGATAGAGAGTTATGTACAGCTGTTTGCTCCCCAGGTATAAATCACTAACTCTGGGTTAATTAATAAACTAAAGTGATTTTATTAATCATAAAAAATAGAATTTAAGTGGTTTCAAGGAATAACAGACAGAACAAAGTAAGTTACCAAGCAAAATAAAACAAAACACACAAGTCTAACTCTAATACATCAAGAAACTAAATACAGGTAAAACTGACCCTCAGCTATGTTCCAATAAGCTTCTTTCACAGACTAGACTCCTTCCTAGTCTGGGCCCAATAATTTCCCCTGGTTCAATTCTTGTTAGCTCCAGCCCTCTTTGTTCTGTTCCACCCCCTTTTATATCTTGGTTACAAGGCGGGAATCTTTTGTCTCTCTGTGTCCCCACCCCTCCTTCTAACTGGAAAAGCACCAGGTTAAAGACGGATTTCAGTTCAGGTGACATGATCACGTGTCCTGTGAGCCCCCCTCCATTCCTCCAGTACAGGCCCGCATGTATGCAGTGGAGACTTGCAGGTAAACAGAGCCACCTAGAGTCAATTATCCTAGTCAATGGGAGCCATTAAGATTCCAAACCACCATTAATGGCCCTCACTTTGCAGAATTACAATAGGACCTTAGAGTTATGCTACATATTCCTAGATTCAGGTACAAGAATGATGCATTTGTACAAATAGAAGGAACACACTCAGTAGATTATAGGCTTTATAATGATACCTTACAAGAGACCTTTTGCATAAAGCATATTCCAGTTACATTATATTCACACTCATACACGTATTTTTATAAAGCGTGATGGAGTGCAACGTCACAGGGGCACCTCCGGAGCAGGGATGCCCCTCCCCCTGCTGGCCTCTGCAGCCCTGTGGCTCCTGCCCCCTGCCTTGGAGCTGCCCCAGCCAGCTACTCCTGGGAGCTTCCTCTCTGCTGTAAGTAGCAGGGGGGAGGGGCTCTGCTGTCAGGTTGTCCCCTGCCCCCCCATGTACCCCATCTCCGCAGAGCAGGTGGGGTGGGGGTACAGGGCTCACCGAGAGTGGGACAGCGCTGCTGGTGGCTGCTGCTATGTCTGAAGGAGCTTTCCTTGAGACTGCTAAGAGCTGCTCTCTTAAAGGGGCAGCATGCGGTCTCCACACACTCCCCCAGGTCACACACACCCGCAGCTCACACACACTGTCTCTTTCACACTCACCCCACCCAACATATACTTACATTAGATACAGAGCTCCTGTCAGCTAATCCCTAAGTTATTAGCTGCAAAGCCCCAAGAGTTTTCAGGTGCCTAAGTAGTCCCTGGAATTATGGTTAAAGTTTCCTCCCCCCACCCCAAATCTGAACTGTGCCCGAGTTTGTCCCTGGGTGAGCCAGGAGTGGCCAGGGGGCTGCAGGAGGCCGTGGGCTCTGGCGAGATGCAGCCCACGTGTGACAGCGCGAAGCCTTGAGCCACATGCCGAGTGTCAGGCACCACAAGCCCCAGCAGCAGCTCAGGAGGGTGGCAATACCCCATGTGCCAGGCCCCCCGACTTCTGCGCTGCTCCTGGCGGTGGCGTTGCCTTCAGAGCTGGGTGCCCGGCCAGCCCCCGCCAGTATCAGGCCGCCCTGCCAGGGCTTAATTTGAGCCACAGCTGAGCTCTGGCATCTCTTTCAATACAATTTAAACACCGTGGGAGGCAACGGGGCCCATTGGCCTCACCCGGGGTGGCAGTCCCCCAGCTGAGGTCTCATTCTCTGTTTCCTCAGTCCCTTGAGTTTCTAAGTCCCTGTCATCTCTTCGGTGGCTGAGGAACAGCCCGATCTACATGCCAAACTCGGGCACAGTGGATTCCCTGACCACCGGCCTGTCCTTTCTTCTGATTCCACGAGAGCAGCAGGGTGTCCTGTGAGGGAAAGAGAGAGAGATTCTCGGGTATGTAAGTGGCTGGCAGTCGGGATAGATAGACAGATGAATGAATGATGGGTGGTTGTATGGGGATGAATAGATGCATAGACGGGTGGGTATGTACATAGTTGGGTGGGTGGGTGGATAGAAGATAGGTAGGTGGGTAGATTGGTGGGTAGGTATATGGGTGGGTGGGTAGATGGGTGCGTAGGAACTTTGTGGGTGGGTCGGTAGCTGAATTACCCTCTGTAACAGAGCAGGGTGAGGTAATAGGCCAGGAAGAATCCAGTCACCATGAAGACGAGTTTGAAGCTGATTTCGATAAATGTGAGGCCACCTGATGGAGCTAGAAGAAGTCGAGAGTCTGGCATAGATCCCTGAAAACCCTGCCCCGAGCCAGCCAGCCCCCTCAGCCCCCCATCCCCACTCCTCTTCCAGCTCAGGGTGCTGATGGCCTCATGCCCCTGGGCCCAGGAGCTGACCTGCAGGGCCCCGAATGAGCCCTTCACCTGCCACTGGAGCCAGGGCAGGGGGTGGGAGCACAGGGAGCAGCTGCAGCTGATGCTGGGCCCCTGGCACTGTCAGGACAAGTTCAGCCCGGTCCCCGGCCGGGGGCTATCTAGGGAGCGCAGGAGACATAGCAACAAATTAATAGTCAGAGAGTGAAACCTTGGGCAGGGAGTTTCCCGGGTTAACCCCACTCAAACCCGTGACAGGGAGTTCCGTGGGTTAACCTCACTAACACTCAATGAGGACCTGGAATGTCCCCTGGGCAGAGCTCTCCTCTCTCTGAGCCCAGCACACGTACAGCCGCCCGTCCTGGGCCATCACTTGGGCAGCTCCAGTCACAGCTGATTCTCCCCCGCAGGGAGGGCACTCTCGAAGGCTCAGCCCCCCCCATCCAGCTCGTGACGGAGCAGAGGAACCGCAGGAATAACCATCCCGGGCCATGAGCTGTGAGCGTCTCCCCAATCTCCCCAGCACAGTGCCCCCCACTAACTCTCCACCCCCCTCCCAGCAGCACTGCATGCCCCACTGATGCCCTGCCCTGCTCCGTTTGGCACAGCGCCCCCTAGCGCCTTAACTGCACGTGCACATGCAGAGCCCGGCTGGCCGACCCATAGGAATTCTTTGCCCAGCACCGATACTCCCCAGCGTCCCCGCTGCTGAGATTCGGCAGCTCCAGGAGCCCGGCCCCTCCCTGGCCCTCAGCCAGTGTGGAGACGTAGCGAGCTCTGGGGTTGGAGCACAATCTTGCTGACTTTCCATGGCAGCAGATCTCTGTCACAGAGATCAGTCCCTGACCCATCCCATCCTCATTGCCCAGTGCACCCTTAATGCCACCTCAGGGACTGGAGACTGAGTGAACCGGGCCTACTCCCCCCACCACGCTCGATACAGTCCTATAGCATCCCTCGGGCTTTCCCCTCTGGGCACGGCCCAGCCCGGCCCGGCTGAGCCTGGTGCCTGGCCCTGAGCAGGGGCAGAGTGTGACTAGGAGGCGCTTGCTGATTTCCGGGGCTCACAGCGCGGCCTCACACCAGGGCTTCCGTTACTGGTCAGGTTCCCCGTGATGTTGGGGTGAAAGGTCGGGTCTGTAACACAAACCAGACAGGGGGGATCATGGGGGCTGGACAGCACCGGTGGCTATACAGGCACCCCTCACCCAGCGTGGGGACGTAGCCAGTTCTTAGGTGGGTGCACAATCTCGGTACCTTTCCATGGCGGCAGATCTCTGTCACACAGATCGGTCCCAAACCTATCTCCTCCCCACTGCCCAGTGCCCCCTACTGCCTCCCTGCGGGCTGGAGACAGAGGGAACCAGGCCGAACCTCCCACCATCCTCCCTACAGCCCTGAGGCTTCCTTGGGCTCTCCCCTCCGGGCATAGACTAGTCTGGCCATGGGCAACAAATGAACTGCCAGCTCAGAGAGGCTATACCCTAGCCCCACCCCTTCTGCCAGAGGCCACACCCCCACTGGAGTCCGGAGCCCCCCCACCGTGGACTCTGGCCCCCCCGAGCCAGCCCTGGGCCACCAGAGCACCCCGTCCCCAGAGCACTGGGCGGGAGGGAGGCGTGTCACTAGCCTCCTGGAGTCCCGGGCCACAGGCCGGCCCCTCTAACCCTAGCCCCGGCCCCAGCTCTGCCAAGGGGGAACAGCATGGGCAGTGAGCAGGAGAGGACCTGGGGGCAGAGCATGGGTGGGGTCACGTAGGGCTGTTTGGGGCAGCTCAGCCTCCTCTGGCCTGTGATATGCACCACCCATGAGCCTGGCCAGGCTGAGCCTGGCGCCTGGCCCTGAGCGCGGGCAGAGCATGACTAGGAGGCGCTCGCTGATACCCGGGGCTCACAGCGCGGCCACTCACCGGGGCGTCCATTCCTGGTCAGGTTCCCAGTGGTGTTGGGGGGCCCAGTCGGGTCTGTAACACAAACCAGACAGGGGGCATGAGGGGGACTGGACAGCACCGTGGCGGGGGGTGTCGCTAGTGATCACTGAGCCTAGGCATGGCCCTCGCTGTGAGCTCAGCTGGGGAATGGGAAAGTTCCTGAAGTGACACAAGACCCGTGGGTGGGGAAGTGAAGCGACAGACCCGACTGGGCCTGACCCAAGAGGCGCCCGACAGAACCTAGAGGCCTGTTTAGGGCTGCGCTGGGGAACCAGAACCGTGGGTAATGGAAATCCAAGGGACCCAAACTGGTTGGTCAAAACTGGGCCTAATTGACAGAGTCACTAACGATGGGCCGAGCTGCTTCTGTCAGGGTACTTGAGCGAGCGTCACCAGCGCCAATGTCTGCCAGGCGCCTGGGCATTCAGCGTCCTGCTCCCCAAACGTGTCCTCCCTAGGACGGGACAGAGCCAGGAGTCTACGTAACCCCATTCCCACCCCCTCCCCAGACTCAGCCACCACCAGGGACATCAGACATGTCCCTCATGGGTCCTTTCCCTTCGCCCCTCGGTTCGTCTCTCTGTAGCCCTCTTCTTTCACCCTCTGGCTTATCTGGTCAGGAATGGATGTTTTGCAGCCCGGCTGCGCCCAGAGGGGTGGCTAAAAGTAACACACAGAACAGCCGGACGCTGATACTGGCTGGCCAGGCCCGGCAGGGTCCATCCACGCTGCCCTCAAAGCCCCACGGAGCCGAGCCTCAGAGCCTGGGTCCGTTGGGTCGGGCTCGCGGGGCTCGGGCTGCGGGTCTTTGATTGCAGCGCGGACATTTCCTCCGAGGTCTGTGTAGACGTTGGGGGTTGGGCTGGGGCCTGGACTCAGACATGTGTGGGTGACTGGGGGGTGGGTTCCTTCTAAATCTCCCTCTGGCTGAAGGGAACAAGGGCCATCCTTACACTGATGCCTGATTTGATCCTTCACCTTGCAAAGGCGGCCGCTGATTTCCCCTCTGGCCTGGATCTGCAGTTCTAGAGTTACAGGCCATTTAATGGGGGTTTGCCCTGAGGCAGGGTGGGCCGAGGTCTCTGGGCACCGAGCCCGGAGCATGTTTAGTGCCCGATGGTGACTTAGTCCCATTAATGCTCTGCCCCATATAAAGCATGCACCGATCCCGGCAGAAAGGGGAGTGGGTGGAGGAGACGCGGTGGGACAGCCTGGGGGGTCTCAGGGGGAACTCGGGTGGATGTTGTGAGGGGAAATCCCAACAAGGGGATATTGCAATGGGGGTGTGTGGATCACAGCACAGGTGGATTCTGGAGCCAGGGCAGGTCGGGGGTAGAGAGGGAAGCCATAACCAATGGGGACAAGAAGGGGTGAAGATCCCAAAGGAGAAGGGCTCCGAGGTGAGGAGGGAAGGAGCCTGGAGTAGAATTGGCTGAGGATGCATGGTGCGGGGTGGGTATCCCAGCACAGGGCTGAGTTCGAGGAGTGGCTGGAGAGCAGGGCTGTGGAGCCCAGGGGTGGGGATCCCAGCATAGGGAGTTTGGGGCCGGCATGGATGGGCTGGGTGGGTCACTCACAGCCTACGTGGAGCTGGATGGTTCTGCTGGTGGAAGATCCCTGTGCTGAGCTGTAGGTGACGGTGCAGACGAGCTCTTTGCCATTGTCTCCCAGGCCGGGCGTGAAGCTGAGCTCGGAGCTGTGAGCCCAGGTGCCGTTCGTCAGCTGGGCTGAGACATTCCGAGCTGTGTCATTGAACGGCCCCATCCAGGTGACTTGGGGAGGGGACCCGGAGCAGCGTCCAGGGGCCGTGCAGGTCACAGTCACCGGCTCCCCGGCCAGCAACGTCCCTGGCAGCCCCTGCACCGGCGAGATCTGGATCTCTGGCTCCTCCGTTAACTCTGAGACGTGGGGAGAGGGGAGAGAATCACTCAGGGACATGGGGCATTGGCCCTTTAGGGGTGCCAGGTCTGATCCAGCCCCAGGAATGGGACTGGCTGGCTCAGGGTGGCTGATGAGCGGTGTCACAAATATAGAGGGAAGAGTAACAACTTTCTGTATGTAGTAGCATCAAATCCCTCTTTGGCAGCTGTACTAAATCACCTTCCCTGTAAGGGATTAATCAGCTCAAATAACCTAGTTGGCACTTTCCGAGAAGGACCAATGAGGAAAGAAGATACTTTCAAATCTGGGGGGTGGGGGGAGGATTTGTTTATTGCTCTCTCTTTGTTGTTCCCTCTCTGGGCGGAGGGAGAGACCAAGCAGGTACAATATTTCCTGCAAATATACCTGTAATAATTGATCTAAAACCACAAAAATTGTAAGTAGGCAGGGAAAGGCGTTGGTTATCTTTTGTTTTAGCTTGTGAATTTTTCTATGCTACAGATGTAGTTTGATTCCTGTTTTTGTAAGTGTGAAGCTGAGTCAGAGAGGATCCATCTGTGTTTTAAAAAGAGTCCAGTGTGCGCTCAGATTGCTAACCAATTGGTTGGTATATTATTCTCAAGCCTGCGCAGGAAAGTGAGTGAAGGGATTTGGGGGGATATTTGGGGATAGGGATTCCAAGTTACCCTGCCCTGAATTTTTCTGTAAATCACGTGGTGGTGGCAGCAATACCGTCAAAGGACAAGGGAAGGAATTTGTGCCTTAGGAAGTTTTTAACCTAAGCTGGTGGAATATAAGCTTAAGGGGTCTTTCCTGCTGCTCCCCACATCTGTACCCCAGAGTTCAGAGTGGGGGGGGAACCCTCACAAGTGATGCCTGCGGCTGCTCTTACCTGGCACGGAGATCGTGAGCACAGGGTCAGTGCCATCGGAATTGGAGCGGTAAGTGTGTTCAAACATGCCTTTCTCGATGTGAAGGAAATATCTCCCCTCATCCGTCCGTCGGGCATCACTGATTTGCAGGGAGCAGTCGCCGTGTGCTGGATCCCCCATCAGCCGGAACCGGCCCTGGATCTCCTGTAACACCCACGCGCTGGGGAGACTGCTGGCCACAGGACGATCCTGGCCCACAGTAGCAGGCTCCTTGTACCAGAGTCTGTATAGCTGGTCCGAGGGATTGTCGGTGTCATACGAGGCTGGGTACGTGAAGTTACAGGGGATGAGAACGCAGAGACCCTCCTGCACGGACACCGACTGCGGCACCGCCAGGGTAAATCCAGGTGGCTGGGACAGGGACCCTGCAGGGCACGGGGAGGGATGGAAGTAGGACCCATAGAGAGCAGAGACCAACCCTGAGCTGCACCCCCCATCTCTGCCGGTTCCCCTCACTCCTGACCTGCAGCCCCCCACGAGCCCAGCCATGAGATCAACCGCCCCTCGAGGTCTATCAGTGCCCCTCACTCCCGACTGACAGCCCCATGTGATCCCAGCCCTAGGTCCTTGACCAATTCTCACTCCATTCAGTTTTCATTCCTCCCTATATGGAGCCTCCTGTCGGCTCCCTGTGGTTCAGTGCCTCCCTAGCACCACACTGGGGCACTGGGCTCCCCTCCCCCTCTGGCCAGTCTCCCTTTCACATTCTGGGACAGACCTGGCCCCACTTAGTGCAGGTTCTGCCCTTCCCCCTGCACTGGGGCTGCAGGTGCTGCTTACTTACCCCTCCAGAGCAGGGAGAGGATCAGGACCCTCAGCATGGCAGGACCCCCTGCTCTCCAGAGGGGGCCCTGAGGCGGGAGCTCCCTTCTCCCGGCGTCGTGCTGTGGCAGCAGGGCTCTGCCCATGGCTGGAGCGTCCGGCTGGGACAGACCTAGAGACAGACGGGGGCTGGGAAGTGTGAGAGCAGAGCCTGTTTGGGGGGACAGATCTGCCTGGGGGACCGTCAGTACTGCTGGGCTCTGCACGAGGCTGATCTGGGGCTGCTGACAGTGCAGTGACCTCCCCCCCACACACACAGAAACCCCCAAATCACCAGATGGTCCCGAGAGATCGTGGGCTAAAAAAATCCTTAAATTGGCGGAAAAAAATGAGATTTTCTCTAAGAATCATGAGAGCGGCCAGAAAATCCTGATCTGGTGACAGAAGATGGTGGGAAGGCAGCGCTGCTCAGTGCCTGCTTTGCTTCAGTCTTCCCACATAAAACAACATGTGAGGAGGCGACCAGTGAAGTTACCACAGACGACAAAGGGGAAGGGCTGCAGATCAGGATAAGTAAAGAACACGTCAGAGATGTTCTGACCAATTTGAATGAATTCAGATCAGTGGGGCAGGAGCTGTTCAACCCAGGGTGCTGAAGGAATTAGAAGAAGAAATCTTGGAGCCACTGGCAATAATATTTGCAAACTCATGGATGCCAGGAGAGGTCTCAGAAGACGGGAGAAGGACTAACAGAGTGGCCATCTTTAAAAAGGGGAAAAGGAGGAGCCGGGAACTATGGGCCAGTCAGCCCGACCTCAAAAGATGGAAAGCTACTAGAGCAATGTATAAAACCTCCAGTTTTGTAAAGGGAAATCATGGCTCGCCAAACTACTTGAATTTTTGGAGGGAGTCAACAGCATGTGAACAGGGGTGACCTAGTCCAGTTACTTAGATTTTCAGAAAGCCTTTGACAATTTTCCTCCCAAAAGGCTTTTAAGCAAGGTAAGGTGTCATGGGATAAGTAGGCAGATCCTCTCCTGGAACAGTAATTGGTTAAAAGGGTAGGAATAAATGGCTAATTTTCAGAGTGGAGAGAGGTAAATAGTGGTGTCCACCAGCGTTCTATATTGTTACCAGTGCTGTTCAACATGTTCATAAATGATCTAGAAAAAGGGGTAACAGTGAGGTGGAAAAATTTGTAGATGATACAAAACTACTCAAGAGAGTTAAGTTGACTGCGATGAGCTACAAAGGGATCTCACAAAACTGGGTCACTGGATAACAAAATGGCAGATGAAATTCAATGTTAATAAATCCAAAGTTATTCACATTGGGAAACATAATCCCAAAAATACATTTAAAGTGATGGGTTATAAATTAGCTGATACTGCTCAAGGAAGAGATCTGAGAGGCACTATGGTCTCTGACCCTGCAGCCCAGGTTCCAGAGGGTTTGAGACTCGGAGCCTGGGGAAGCGGCATGCACAGGAACGTAAAGTAGAAGTGGGTGCAGACAGGAGGGGGTTGGGGGGAGATGCTCTCTCAGGAACCCCAGCACCAGCATCCTGCCGACTTCCCCTCCTTCTGGCTGGGGCTCCCTGTGGCTTCCCTGCAACAGGGGCAGGCTTCATATTGCTTGTGGGGCTGGAACTAGATCCCAGCATTCCTGGCTCTAAGCCCCTGTACACCTCATTCTCCTCCCAGAGCTGGGATAGAGCCCAGGAGTCCTGGCTCTGAGACACTCTACACATCACTCTCCTTCCAGAGCCGTGGATGGAACCCAGGAGTCCTGGCTCCCAGGCGCCTGTCCCAGCTCTATCCCTTCATTACTTCTTTTAATATTTGAACACTAGCAGCTCACACCTCTTATCCTATTGTACATGCTGCAGACACTAATCACTCACCCTGAGCTGAGATGCAGCCACCTCCAGGCAGTGCAGCTGGGGAACAGCCACACAGCGACACTGTCCAGAGGTTGCTCACCCGAAGCTGAGATGCGTCCGCTTCTGGGGTGGGGTGCCTGGGAACAGTGCACTGGAACAGCAGGTGCCCGGTTAGGACAGGTAGCGAATCCTGACTCCAATTTGAAGAGCTGGGTGCATGTGAAGATCTGCCTGGGACAGAGTGGGTGTGAGTGTCAGGGCGTAGGCTGTGGAGAGATGTGAGATTTCAAGACAGGAAGGGGAAGTCAGCGTGTGAATCTGGCCCTAGAATGTGTTGCAGAAGCCGGTTCCAGTTGCTGGAGATCTCGGTGCCATCGACGCAAGTGGGAGATTGTCACAGACAGAGGCCTACTCCCAGGGACAGCAGGCTTCTGGCCCCACCACAGAGGGACTGGCTGGGGGTGGAGGGAATGGGGCATGGGTCCTTTCCCCTGTAGGGGGCCCTGGCTCCAATCTGCTCCAGGGTGCGGCACTGGTTGGCTCTGGGGAGTGGGAGTGGGACCAGGGGTCCTTCCCCTCTAGAGTCTCTTTTATTCTCTGTCTCTCGGTTCCTCAAACGTCTCCCAGGTCCCGGGTCACTGAGTCTGGGGAATCCCTTTTGATGGGACCCAGGTTATCGGCTGGATCAGGAGAAGCAGCTGGATTCCACGGCCCACCATAGACACCGTCCTTCGATTTAAGAGCTGAGACGCAGCTGAATTTGGCCTGGGTCATGGGGGCTGTTTACACAGGGACCTCTCCCCAGCGCTGAGATATGGCTGCCTCTGGGGTGGGGTGCCGGGACTATTTATACAAGGACTTCTTGCCCGGTGTTGAGATACACAAGGGTTTGGGAGAAACCTAGAACTAAAAGAAACACAGCGCCCCCTAGGGTCATTGGCACCAGCCCCGATGGCCGGACCCTCCCGAGTCTCCCACTCCAGCCAGACTCTGGCCCGCTCTGCCCCAGGCCAGTGGCACGTCAGCTCTGCCCCCTGTGTGTGGGCCCCGGCGGCTGTGCTGGGAGGCTGGTTGGTTAGCGGATCTTCCACAACAGGAAGTTTCCAGTTGGTGAGTTTGCTCCACCGGTCGGCCCCTGTTCAGGGCTGGGCGATAGCAGGGGAGAGGGTCCCATTGAACAGTGGGGCGCAGCCGCTTGGACACAGGTCCCCAGCCAGTGTCGGAAGGGGCGAGCCCGGGGCAGATTCCTGCTGGGACTGTGGCTGCCGGGTCTAGTGGGTTAGAACTCGCTGCCATGGATCCATGCGGATCAGGGCAGACCCCTGGTCCTTCGGGTGAGAGCCGGGGCAGGAACCCCGGTGTCCGGGCCAGTCCCAGCTTGGTGTGGTACATTCTGCCTCTGGTTAATCCCCATTTGGTTTCAAACTCTTTTAAATTAGCTGCCCGGATGTTTTCCCTCGGCTGCTGTTAAACAGATGCCCCATCTGGAGATGGCTGCATGTTAGCACCACCCGGGAACAGATCCTAATATAAACAGCCCCCGAACCCCACCCCAGAGGTCACTGCATCTCAGCACTTGCCGAGGGGTCCCTGTATAAACAGCCCCCTCACCCTACCCCAGAGGTGGCTGCATCTCAGTGCTGAGGAAGGGATATTTGTGCATTGTATTGAGCTCAGTATATGACTTGTGTGTCTTTCCTGGGTCTTGTGAATTACCAGGTTGAGATGTAGGAAAAAACATGATTCACTGGGAAACCTTGGAACCGCCAGGTCAAGATCGAAAACTTACATTTCTGAAGATCATGGTGACTGGGGTCCGTCTCTTACAGATATGGCAGGGCAAGGGTTAATTACCAGTCATTATCTATCTATCTATCTTAATAATTTAAAAGTCTGTTTTTTTCAGTGTCCTGAAAATATTTTAAAACATTGGGCAGGAATTGAAAAATGTGGGATATTTTTTGTGATCATTAGTTTTAAATGGCCAATTCTCTGTGAAATCTTTCTAAAATCCAAAAAATTCTGTGATTAGTTTTTATTAAACTTTTATTTTAAAAATAGCCTGTGACGAAGTGGGGGATTTTGTTAGTGATTTGCATGAATACTGCCTGTGCCTCAGTTTCCCTGTGTGCTGCGTGTCTAACGAGGTGGTGGAAGACGGGGGTTGTGGTTGCAGAGGGCCAGGAGTGACCTCGCCTAACAGCCCGTACCCTGGACACTGGCCTGGACACTGTAGAACTTATCAACCGGTGAGCTGAAGGCCCAGCCCATCTTGGGAGCCTGCTGGTTGTGGCCCGTAGAAGGACAAAGGCCAGAGGAGAGATGGCCCAGGAAGGCAGCTGGTTCTGGCCAGTCGGGGAACAAAGGACGGAAGAGAGGGGACTCAGGTGACCTGTTTGCGAGGAACAAAGACAAAGGGTGGAGGCGGGGCTGGTGGGGGAGTTCGGCTGGAAGGAGGTTGCTTCTGGACTGGGGACAAAGAGGGGCCTGAGCTACCTGGATGGGGACAGACCCAGCTGGACAGTGGTGAGACTGGCCAGGCTCGGGGGCCCTGAGAACTGCCTGTGCTGGGTTCAGACATTCAATAAACCTCGTGTGTTACGCTGGCTGAGAGTCACTGAAGGATAGAGATCGGGGGGGGAGGTGTTGCTCCCTCTGGGGGTGGAGGCCTTGGGTGACCAGAGGTAGGGGACTCCCTGAAGGTGAGACACAGGCAGGCTGAAGGCTCGGGAAAGTGCCATTCCAGGAGGTGCTGGAGCCCAAGTCTTAACCCCCCAGAGTGTGTTTTAAAAAGTGTCATGGCATAGCAAAGGTATTGATTTCTTTTGGCATGTGCTAATTACAATCCTGCATCTCCAGTGGAGTATATCTTGATTCCTGATCACAATTGCTCTTCCTAATTTGAAAAACATATGGAAATAAAAAGTTAGTTTTGTTACTATTGGCAAGTTTACAGTTTCTATGATCCTCAGACATGTCTAGAAACCAAGGATTCTGCTGCGTTTGGGCCAATCCAAGCACATAGTAGGTGCTACTGTAACACAAAGACAAACACAATCGATTCAGCATTTCTCAAAGACTGAACACTTGCTTTCATGCTAAAATCTGGCTTTGTGGTAACAGCATTGTCTTGCAGGGATCAGTAACTAGCATCATCTGGTCTACTCTGTTCTCGCACCAGAACCCCCTTCTGACAACAAAAATTACTACACAACCCCAGGAGGGGGGATCAAAGTCTGAGCCCATCGGAGCCCCAGGCAGTGAGGCTTGGGCTTTGGTCCCGGGCTACAGCAAGTCTAAGCCAGCCTTGGTGACCCCATTAAAATGGGGTCGTGACGCACTTTGAGTTCCTGATCCACAATTGGAGAGCCACTGCTCTAAAGGGTATCGTACTGCGCTCGTCACCGGGGTATCTGGATGCCTTGCGGTCATCACAGAAAAAGCAAAGTCATCCAGGACCAGCCTTAGCCACGGGCGACCATGGCTGTGATGGGTTCGGTCACAGACACCCCCTTGGGACTGTCACCTGATGTGCTGACACTACCTCAGAGCCCATTTTCCCTGCCAGGTTGGGACGGCAGAAATCTGCTTTGTTGAGCCAGACATGCTAACCTGCTGCAACACAGACCCAGGGTCTGAGCCACTCCCCAAA